GGAAAGAATTAATCTAATTTCGTCTAATAAAATTTGATTTTCTTTCGTTCGGCATTGCGCATTAATAAAAGTTACAAAATCCACCAAGCGTTTCACCACTTGTCCGTTTCTTCAATTTATAATATAATCCAGCTGCCGTGTATCGGGACAAATGACGGATCTGTCTATCGTACATAATAAGTTATTGTACTTAAAATAATATTCATGCATTTTTATATGGCGTTGTTTATGTTATGATTTGAATTGAATTTCGGTTCACGGTTAATCTACAACAGTGATACACTATATGTTTTATTGGTAAGTAAGTTCACGCWGTACACATCAAGTTTCGTATTCCCAGTGTACAACTTAACGAAACTTAACGACTTTGGACCAAAAACCGTTTTCAGCAGTATGGAGGACGATATTCGTTTTCAAATTTACCACATATTAAATTTGAATATTGCATAAAATAAAATTGCTTTTAGATCGTTTTATTTACTATTAAATTTCTTGGCGTGTTTTTCACTTGTAACTTTGGATGCTTTGGTATTTATAACTACATCTATAAAAAGTAATTTGTCAAATTAGTAATAAATAAAATAAACAATTAATATTGCTGATGAAAAAAAATCAATAATGGATCCATAAATTTGGATCAGAAGAGCCAGCCCTCTGACCACACCATTAAGAGTTGTATTAAAAACATTTGAACGCAGTGGCGGATTTGAGGGGGGGGGGGTGACGTGGCGATTACCTCTCCCTAGGGAATTTTTTTACTTAAATTATAGCGCCATATGATAAAATGAACATGAAATTCATAAATCATAATTATAACATTAAACTCATAAATAAATGATACAAAAAAAGGTATTTATTTAATATGAAAACCGGAAATATGTATTCAGTAACGTCTTTGTTATTACTTATCAATCTATGATACCAATTCGCCCCCTCCTAAAATGATCTTCAGATCCGCTACTGTTTGAACGAACGGGGGAGGCGCACCAGTTGAGGATCGGATATGACACTGAAATATTTAATATATTTAAATATCACATCAACTATAGATTTTGATTTAATTATTGAAAAGTTATAAATATATACGCAGTCCAAAGGAAACGGGCTTTTGTGTTGCAATTAAAATGCGAACCAGATAGGACAAAGCACACACAGTTCCTCTGCATTGTGTACTTGTTAATATATATAATATCAAAACTATTTCGTTCTCGCGCTCGGGTGTTGCGTCGACTGCATTTTAATCGCCTCCTCCCCGCCGTCGCTGCTAAGAATAAATAGGTCATACTCATACGTTGGCTATGCACGTACTCGGTACATAATATGTAGGTACATTCACACACACATACACAGCACAAATATAGTGTCAAATATTTAGTGAAATATTATTGTCAAATATGAATAGGTTATCGTAAATTGTAATGGTCACTTAAACAGATAAACTGTGGTTAAGTTATTGAGTTGATTATAAAACGAACTAGGTAACTAGGTGGTTAGGAAGCTTTTCAAATAAATGTTATTTGCATAAGTTTATAATTTTAGAAAAGATAAAACCAAGTGTGCTATTAGAACCACRAGTAACATTAATCAGTGAGAACTATTTTTAGGTAGATTTCTGTGCGATCCTTATCCAAAATTTGTGGTGTCACACACAGAAAAATACTATAAAAAATATGATTACGGTAACTATTAAAATTATTATAGTATTCGTTTAGTATATGACTGTATCATATCAGTAGCACAGCAATGTTCTAGTTTTCGTAATATATTACTGTAAGCCTGTAAACAATCCGTATTTTGGCCGGACGATGTTTGAATATTTTATTTTGCAACCCAATTTAAATGAATCAGACAACTAAATCAATTTAATGATCATATTTACATTTTGTCATCAAYATATTTGTTGTTTATTTTTCATCAGTATAATTATTTCTATAACTTCATAACATAAGTCTTCCATTCGTTACAAATATTTTAAATATTTAATTATAAAAAATCTATTATAAAACCCTCATTCACATCTGTCTCTCACAGTTTAGCACTTGATAGTGTTTTCGTTCGAACTTGGAAACGTTTAAAATACGATATTATAATAATTAGCGATGGCTAATCTTGTGTTGTTTTTCTAGTTCATTAGGTACTCTGTTTTTTCATGTGTCATATAATTTTATTGTGTATCAATTACAGCATAATAAAGTGATATCATTCATATTTCGTACTCGTGCTACAAAATGTTATGGATTTATGAAATTAAATGTTTAAAATCTACGACGACCAATAAAATAATGTTGTGCGAATCTCTAACAGGTAGTAAATATATGTGAACTACAAATRCTGATATTTTTATGATATTAACCAAGTTGGTCGCAAAGTACAAGGTTTTATATCTGATTCGGCATCAGCTGAATATAGAATGCTTGAGAGGAGATTTTATCAACAAGCTATTGTTGAATAGCTAAGTCGTACATRCAGCTTAATAGATTACAAAAAGAGTTAGCAACCGATATAGATACTCTATATATTGCAGGGATTTCAAAAATGCACTTGCAGAGAGTAAAAGTATACAATGCCATGATAGTTATAAAATATGTAACTAAAATCTTATAATGGTTTGCCATATTGTGTAGCAAATAAAATATATATGAATTATAATTAATTCAGTTACATACATTTTGATTGTATAAAAAAATTTCAACCTCAGACCTTTAGGCCTCTTAACTATCACATTGGTTAAGGAGCATCACTACATTAGTATTACCCATTTATCAATACAACTCTTTGTCAATATTTCTATTTATAGAAAGTTTAAAAGGCATGATTTCCTAAATTACGGTATTTTGTAATTGACATRTACTATAGGCATTTTCAAAAATGATTAGGAAATAATATAAACTYATGCATTAAACAGGAAATTACAATGTTTTATGTAGCAATATTGCTTTGTAATTCTTGATGATGCTCAATCTTAATAATTTCCGATGATTTATGTATATATAAATTCATGTACCTATATACATAATATACTATATAATATAATATCAAACATAGCATCATAGTATATAATATGAGCGCTTACTAAATAACACCGTGGAAATAGAAACTCCATTAGCCCATGTACTTGTACTATAGCGAACCATTGAGTGTTTTTTTACGAAAAAAATTAATACCGTCCAAACGAACCCTACGGTCGCATAAACACTATAGGCACATAACACTGCAGTGTATATAATACAAAT